AAATTTAAATTAAAAATTATCTCTTCTTTCTTTCCTATCAAGCATAATAGGGCAATGATGCTACTTAATCAATTAACTAGGATTGATTTATTTTCGAGAATGTGCAAGCAATGGGAATAGATTAATCAATGAAACGATAAATAAATAAAAAAATAAACTAATATTGAATACGAATGCTATCGCAAATATTTAACAATAAACTATTGCATTTCAGTCATTCATTGGATTTCATTGTTATTCGAGTTTATTTTTCAACCATGTCAATCATGCTTGAACTTAAATAATTTGTTCTTGAAAAAATTCCTGCATGCAGCCTTATATTTATTTGGCAGTCAAATTCACAACAGAAATGGTGTTATCAGTTCAGATATTTTTGTAGCTTGGTAATGGTGTGCGATAGATCTACCTTCTCTTTATGCAGCATAGGCAACGCTTCTTCATAACATCTGCATTTTTGTAAAGCCCATCCCAACTTTATCTTTAAATTTGATTTCATTCCTTGGGGAACAATAAGATTAGCTCAACGCGATGCAATGTTTTCTTTCTCTCAAAAGGTCTAAAAACCGTTAGTTGACTTCCAACTTCAAATTACTGTGACAGATTCATTGTCATGTTCAACTACATCACATCAATTACATCAACTTTTATCTACCTTCCTTCTGCTTTATTTTTATCTGTGAATCACTCTTCCATTCTATTTTCATTCGCAGGGAAATAAAAACTCCCAATTTATGCAAGCTCCATTTCAACAGATTAAGCATTTTACGAAATTAACATATTTTCCTCAAAATAAATGCTTGAGAAGAATTTGATTTCATAAAATTACAACTTGACTTTGAATTGCCACTTTGACCTTTACGTATGCAGATCTGATAATTGTACTCTTTAGGAGTATCATTTCAAGTGATTTGACAGTTTAAAAAATTAAGATTGCTTCTCACGTTATTTATCTTCACATAAATTTTGCTGCATTCTATTCTATTGCGACTTATAATTTCTTAATTGACTTTTTAGTTGTTTTTAATAATGAAAAATTAATTATATTCATTCATTGGAATTGACCTCAATGATGCTTATATTAATTGCTCCCTTAATTCTTCTCCTTGAGTTTATTTAAATAAATTGCAAATTGCATCCCAACTTTATTTGCTTATTTTCAAATAAATATGACACTACTAAAATAAATTGAAATATCTTGCAATCTTGAAATGAAAAGCTCACACATCATTATTTTTTTCAACTTCCGTTCAGTAAAGATTTGAAAAACGTTTGAATTGTTGGAAGCGATTCATTTAAATTTTGGAAAATTTAGAGCGAAATTTTGAATTTTAAGAAGAGTTTTTATATTAAAGTGGAGAATGCAAGATTCACTTGAAAACCTCTAAAAGCAAGTTAGTGCTGACCAAATATGCAAAGGAGAAATCTTGTTATTTAATCCGTAACTTAACAAATCGAAATATTGTTGGCACAACGTTTGCAAAATTTATATTTTAGAGTACATTCATTGCAGCCAACAACGCAGAACAAACTTTAAAAGTAGCAAATTTGAAAACACAAATGGCATTCAATATATCAATGTAGAACGGATTTATATTTTTGCTTAATTTGTAAACAACTTTGTCAAGGATAATATTTATAATAGTAAGCCAATCAATTTCGTGTGGAGGAATTTGGTCCACTGACGAGTTTCCTGTTGGATGTTCTTCAATATGCAGTGATCGCTGTTCAACTTTCTAGTTGAACGAATGTTTGGTTGCGACTATCCATGGTCGAAATCTTCCGGCGTGTGCTTGCCTGACGATAGGTCTCGGCTTGCCAGTTGAAATGCAGTTGTCTGTTGGAGTTTTGGGGACCTGTAAAGGTAGGCTTTCGAAGGATAACTTTCTCCAGCTGTTATTTACATTGGGTACAATGACAAGGTTCTTAAGTCTCGAAGAGATGGACATTCGAAACGCAACGTGCTCCTGCTGTTTTCTGTTTCTAAGGGTGTTCTGTGGGAGTCATAGCCAGTGAAGTGGGCGAGTTGGGGTGCCGTTGAAATGCTGATCGTTTGTGGGAAGAAACCATCAGATGAGGAGAGCGATTTGAAGAACAATCGCGTCGTCGATGAGAGAACGAGTCTCTGTTGAGCGGAAGTCAGGATCTGACTTGTTGTGGTTAACGGCAGCAGACGTAAGGTAATGATCTTTTGAGCAGAAAGGGATCACCGAGGGAATGGAGGAATGCGGAGAGGAAATTCCAATGCCAGTGAGAGATTGGTTCTCTACTGAGAGATTGAAGTCAGGCTTTACTAAGGTAGCAATCCGCTACAAGATATAACCTCTGTTGAAATCTGTCATTTGATATAACGACCTACCCTTGCTTCGTGGTGTCACCTGCTTGTTCTCTAGAAGATTACAAAGTAGTAGATTGATAACACAACTCTTCTGTTCTAGTAACATTGCTTGGAATCCCATATTAAAAGCAAATTGATTTCGCAAAATCTTTCGAAATCAAATAAAGCCCAGTTTGTTCAATATTTTTGAAGGCTTTACCCACTTTCAAAATTTATTCATCATTTATATGTCTATATTCACTTTAGTAAAATGTTAAATTACTGAAATGTAATTTAATTTAGTTTCTTAAATAACGTTAAACAGCAAATCTAAAAAGCGCGAAATTTGTCTTTTTATCTTCTCAACTCACCGGGGCTTGTTGTTGTTGCTTGTTCGTGATTGTAAACTAAAATTGTCAATTGTGACCATTAAATAACACTTTCATGCATTTTGGTGCTTTTGCCTATCATCGACGAGTTTTACAAAACTATTAAATTTTCTCAATATAGGCCTATGATTTCATAAAATCAAGATTTATACCGTTAAGATTTATTGAAGAAAATAAAACACTTGAAAAATTTTAAAATTTTAATCCAATTAATTATTTATTTATATCAAATGGCAGGCGTTTTGATAGTTATCGTTAGCCCTTTAGCTGAATTCGGACATCAGAGAGAGGAGGAGGAACTTTAAAGTGGCAAATGCTGAGAAGGGTGGTGAGAAGGGTTATTCACATATGTAAAAGGTGGGCTGAATACTCTGGAAGGGGTTGAAAATGACATAGAGTGGGATCGTGGTAGTTTGAAGTAATTTGCAGCTTAATAGGTTTTTTTGCCGTACGTGTATATGTTGCCCTGGGTGCACTATGTGGAGGTAAGTCTATCGCACACCCCCAAATTATTTAATAAATTTTGTTCTCAAATTAATTAATTAAAAGGACCATTAGAAGGATCAATATTTTAACACTTAAACAATGACATTGATTAATTAATGCAATGATCTACCGGTTTTTTATTTCATGATAACTGAACTTATATAGATTCAAAATGGCAATGGTTTAAGTTTAAATATTAAAAAGCATTTAATGAAGTTGGCCAAATTTACATAAGTTACTAGAATTAAGAATATTGCGTTAATCATGACGAATTGGATCCAAAATCTAGTTGTAAGGTTATTTAGAAGTTACCTAAAGTGAAGTATTGGGTTGGCAACTAAGTCATTGTCGTTTTTGTTGACAGATTCACTCTATACTTTCTTTTGTTTTGTTAACGTGGCCAGAGCATCTAACCTATATTTTTTTCTTACTGAATGGGCTTCTAGGTTAATTAGTAAAAAATTTTTTTTGTTTAGTTCTTTAGTTTTGTTTTTATCCCAATTTAAAAAGGAAAGAACAGGACGTGCACTTCCGACACATTTTATTGCATTACTTCCGAAAAGGCAAGAACGCATCGCAAGCACAAAAGAAGTTATGTGCCGTATATGGAGATGAAGCCCTAAAAAAGAAAGGCAGTGTCGAAATTGGTTTGAAAGATTTCCTTCCGGTGATTTTTCACTGAACAATTCACAACGATCTGGCCGCCCAGTCGAAGTGGATGAAACCCATATCAAGGCCATTATCGATTCAANCACAACACGAGATATTGCAGAGAAGCTCAATGTGTCGCATACATGCATTGAAAAATAATTAAAAACCCTTGGTTATGTCAAGAAACTTGATTTATGGATCCCTCACCAGTTAAAGGAAATTCATTTGACGCAACGGATTAGCATCTGTGATTCGCCGCTACTGAAACGCAATGAGAATGAGAATGATCCATTTCTGAAGAACCTAGTTACTGGCGACGAAAAGTGGATAGTTTATAACAATGTTACTCGCAAGAGATAATGGGTGAAGCAAGATCAACCAGCCCAAACAGTATGAAAAGTAGAGATTCACCAAAAAAGATTATGGTGTGAGTCTGGTGGGATCACAAAGGAATTTTGTATTTTGAACTCATGCCGCAGAACCAAACGATAAATTCAAATGTGTATGTTGAAGAACTCGAAAAACTGAAGGATGCAATTGAAGATAAGCGGCCGGCATTATCAAATCGGCGAAAGGGTGTTGTTTTCCATCATGATAACGCAAGGCCCCCCCCTCACATCTTTGGTTACTCGGCAAAAATTATTGGAACTGGGTTGGGATGTTTTGGCACACCCACCATATAGCCCTGACCTTGCGCCTTCGGATTATCATTTGTTTCGTTCCATGCAAAACTATTTAAATGGTAAAATTTTTAACATCGCAGATGATGTCGGATCACACCTAATTCAGTTTCTTAATAGCAAAGACCAGACATTTTACGAACGGGGAATTTTTACTCTGCCAGAACGATGGAAAAATGTCATCGACAAGAACGGCCAATATCTAATTCAATAAAGTTATATTTTTAAACAAAAATTCCGAATTTGCCTTCTTATTTGAAATTGGCAATGACTTAGTCGCCAACCTAATATATTATTTTACGTAACTAACGACAAGTAAAGAATCTAACTGAGATGTAACTTGTGTTGAAAACTGTCATTTCACGTAAATGCAATGTTCTTTTTTTTGTATTTTATGAAATATATGACATATAAACTACCTGGTTGTCTTTAATTATAGTGACATTAATATTGCTCCAAACAGAAGAGAATTAACTTTTGCATTTTAGTATATCTGGTGACTCACTCATTTGGAATGCATGCTTTTGAGAGGGACGAATCAATGTTTATAGGCACACATATTCAAATATGGGGTGGGCGATTTACTTACCTCTACGTGGTGCACCCAGGGCAACGTATGCTCATACGGCAAAAAAGTCTATCAACTGACAGTTGACTTCTGACTTCAAACCACCATGACCACACTGTTTGTCATATTTGACTACTTCCACGTTACTCGTGTCACCTTTTTCTACCTTTGTGACTGTCTCTTTTACATCTTTGAAACGCTTCTATTCCACCCCCCTCCTCCCACACCTGACTTGTTTCACTCTGATGTTCCTTCCCCTCTGTGGAGCCTGAAGTCAACTAAAGGACTAATGATAACTATCAAAAAGCCTGCCATTTGATAAATATTTAAATATTGATCCACCACCTTTCTCCCAATAGACTCTAATCTCCATAGTTGTAATGTAGTCGTGCAAAACAAAGTATGTGCTAGTTTCATTTCCTTCTCGATGATATTCGAATATGGTTTCCGACTGATCCTTTTCATGGTTATATTTAAAGTTTTCTAAGGAATCGAGTGTTTTAATTGGCGCAATAATGCAAGAATCAGACAAAATCGGTGATACATTAACGAATTCAACGAATTAAATGATTTGAAGTTTTCAAATTATTTATATCAATATTCGTATGCACCAATAGAAGAAAATCCAACTTAGAAATGGCAAACATTGAAGGACATAGCCAGATTCAACATTCTCGTTGGTGTTTACCAAGAAGATCTTGTGGGACATGTTATCGCTTTGAGCGTCATCGCATACCTGCCCGATAGGATTGGGAGGTACGGCCGAACAACTCTGTGCATGGACAGTACTAACAGTGGCCAATCATCAACCCCTGTTCGTTTAACCTATTCCCCCATCCTGATCATGAGCAGCTCCCTGCGTGTACACACTTTATCCGCAATATACGTCCTGAATAAACGTGCTCCGTGATACACTTCTGTTTCCTTTATTGCTGGGCAATGGCTTAGCTGGTTCTGGGAGTCTAGGTAGATGTTGGAGAATTCGCCATTGAGATTTCTGAGT